CCACACCTGAATACCTGGGGACTGGCCATACCTGAGCACCTGGGGACTGGCCATACCTGAACACCTGGGGACTGGCCATACCTGAGCCCCTAGGGACTGCCAATACCTGAACACCTGGGGACTGACCACACCTGAATACCTGGGGACTGGCCATACCTGAACACCTGGGGACTGAGAATACCTGAGCACCTGGGGACTGGCCATACCTGAACATCTGGGGACTGACCACACCTGAATACCTGGGGACTGGCCATACCTGAGCACCTGGGGACTGGCCACACCTGAATACCTGGGGACTGGCCATACATGAACACCTGGGGACTGAGAACACCTGAGCACCTGGGGACTGGCCATACCTGAGCACCTGGGGACTGAGAATACCTGAACACCTGGGGACTGGCCATACCTGAGCACCTGGAGACTGAGAATACCTGAACACCTGGGGACTGGCCATACCTGAACACCCGGGGACTGACCATACCTGAGCACCTGGGGACTGGCCATACCCGAACACCTGGGGACTGGCCATACCTGAGCACCTGGGGACTGAGAATACCTGAGCACCTGGAGACTGGCCATACCTGAACACCTAGGGACTGGCCATACCTGAACACCTGGGGACTGGCCATACTTGAGCACCTGGAGACTGGCCATACCCGAACACCTGGGGACTGAGAATACCTGAGCACCTGGGGACTGAGAATACCTGAGCACCTGGAGACTGGCCACACCTGAACACCTGGGGACTGGCCATACCCGAACATCTTGGGACTGGCCATATCTGAACACCTGGGGACTGGCCATACCTGAGCACCTGGGGACTGGCCATACCTAAACACCTGGGAATTGAGAATACCTGAGCACCTGGGGACTGGCCACACCTGAACACCTGGGGACTGGTCATACCTGAGCACCTGGGGACTGGCCACACCTGAACACCTGGGGACTGGCCATACCTGAACACCTGGGGACTGGCCACACCTGAACACCTGGGGACTGGCCATACCTGAACACCTGGGGACTGACCATACCTGAACACCTGGGGACTGGCCATACCTGAGCACCTGGGGACTGGCCATACCTGAGCACCTGGGGACTGGCCACACCTGAACACCTGGGGACTGGCCATACCCGAACACCTGGGTCTGCTGGAGGTGGCCAGCCCCTCAGTCCATGGGAGGACTCCAGAGCTCAGTGTGCCCCAGGGAGCCAGGCTCCGGGGTCCACACCTCTCTGAAGCAGATGACTCTTGTTGACAACCACCTCCTAGTCCTGAGGTAGCTCTCAAGGGTTGGACAGAGCTGGGGGCTGAAGGCAGAGGTCGGCTGGCTTTGCGAACCACCTCTGTACAGAGAAACAGTTCCCGGGCAGGGCATGTTCTTCAAACTGCAGCCCAGATAGACAAAAGCTGCCCCCGGAGAACGTGTTGAAGGGAAAGAACTATCATTTTTATCGTACAAAGCAAATACTGTTCTCAAATTAAAAATTTAGCCGGGAAAATAGTTTTAAAATGTTGGAATACAGTTAGGAAATACTTTCTTTACAAAATATCTATAAAAATAAAGATGAACATAATACAAATTAAAGCATTGAAATTATTCTATCCAATTACACCTGGCTATCTACAACAAAATAATTGGAAATTTGATTTTAGAAGTTGCAGTCCATGCTCTGACTTCCTTGGTGGTGGTGGGGGAAGTGGGTCATACCATATAAGATAAATGACTTTCGGCAAACGACAAATCACTTTTTCTCCCTAAGCATCCATTCTGACCCACAGGAATGACAGAACATAACTTCTTAAGTGCCATTTACGTGAAGTTCCAGATTCCCTATCAGCATCTTGTCCTCGTGACATTCTTCTTGGTGGGCATTGAGATTTTTGCATTCTGTTTTCCATCTCTTTGGTGGCATCGCGGACGAAGAGCCACGCGTGTGTCTCCTGCACACTGAGGAGGGGGCTCTGCGGGCAGCTCAGCTCTCTGGGTCTAACATCATGTTGTTGGCTCAACCGGGGCTCCTTCAGCAGGTTCTGAGAGGCACTTGGTAGGAACAAACCCACCAGCTCATCTTCTGCCTAAGGACCAGCCCCTGCAGAGACGCAGCGTCGCTCTCCAGCAGGAAACCCCAGGAGTCTTTTTCTCTCCCTCTGTTTGGCCTCTGTGGTCCCTGGGGAGAGGGCCCTCTAAGGATCAGACTTTCACACAACATCTTAGAGACCGGGAGCTAAGTGGCCTCCTCCGAGGAGCTCACCACGGTCTTCAGTGGTACTTTCTGTGGGATCCCAGATGTTCACACCACCCAACCTGTCCCCAGACCGTCTCTGGAGGTGGGGGCCCAAGGTGGCAGGACACTGTGCACGCCTCAGGGACAGGCACAGGGCCTGTGTGGGTGTGCTGAGGGCTGCTGGGCTGTTTAATGCCCAGTGGCACCTGCGTTTCTGGGGCTGTCAACACTGGGCCTCCAGAACCTTGACCCGCCTGGCTTCCCAAGCTGATGGGTGCAGGAAAACTGCTTATTTCCCCACTGACAAAGATTGAGGCTGCCTGTTTATTAGAAAGAGAATGTTCATTTAAGGAGTGTTTTTCAAACCCCAGGACACACGCCCACCAATAATGGGCTTCACTCCACCTTCTGCTTCTCCAACCACAGACCCCTTCCCTCTGAGAGATCTCACGCCCTTACTGAGGAGGACTGTGGTCCTGCATGATTGTCCTTGGGTTGAGGTGCTTCCCCTCAGGAGCAATGTGGCCCTGGGTGTGGAAATCAGCAGAGTGAGGTGCGTCCATCCACACAGGGCCCTCCTGTCCCCCTCGTGTTTGAGTCCTGTGTGCCCAACCTGTGATGAAGACTCCGGTGTGATCCTGTGCCATGGCTGCCGTCCCCTCCACCTGTGCTGCAGAAGGTGTCGATTTAAGGGTGCA